CCTCCCTCCCATATAAGAATATACAAGGTAATGACATCAACATTACTTCAGTACATATTTCAAATAATTAATGAAAACATTATTTGCTTCAAGAATTGTTGAATATACATGAAGTTACATAACTGTAACCCCTATTTATTTAACCTGGAATTCTCTAGAAAACTGTGGGTGCAATATTCACTGAAGCAAGTAACCTTTACTTAAGAAAGAAGTATTTTTAGAGTCTACAATTTCTGAATATCTTTCCCTCTTGTACAAAGCCACCCATAGCTGTTTACACAGGACCAAGGGGAAAAAAAATTGGCAGCCCCGATTTAAGGGTAAGGGCAASTGTATCACTTAGCATTGCTTTTGCTATAAAGGAACAAAACCTGCTGTTAGGAGTTACTAAATGAGTAATATCAACAAAGCCTTTTGTAAAACTACCTGGACAGATGGCCTGTCCTTCCTCCCAAATAGCACAGACTTCTCAACTGGATAGTGGCACAGTCATGGTACATTAGCACTCAAAGGGGTTGAGAAAGGTTAGAGAGAAACAAGTTGATTAGAGTTCATGTCCTCGTACACTAAGGTTATGAAATGTATAACCAGAATGACACTGTATCAGGAATATGCAAATAAATGTACCAGGGTGTAAACTGACTTCACCTGTTTATGCAGAAGTTCAAGGACACCAAAATATAAATCACTCCGTTTTGTTGGAACAGATAACTGTACCCTTGATAATGTAAGAAAATGTTGCTGACGCACATAATCCTTCTCTGCACCTCTTTCCCATGGCTTCACTACCATCAGCTCTGTGAACCTGGCAACAGGTAGAAGGCAACAGCCAAGCCAAACATCAAACACATCCCTTTCAACTGCTACTCCTTATCCTGATACTGATTTTTCAAAATTATATTTAAAATAGCAGCAAGCAACAACGTATTTTTAAAGGATGCCACAAATTTTGACTTATGCATCCAGTCTCTCAGAAAGTGTTTTCTGAGTAACTGGCTGTGACTTTGGGCAGTATTTAAATATAGCTATATATTCATAGGGCCTCCTGCTTTAATCGCCCAATGGAAGTGGTGGGGASAGAGGCAGGGAACAAACAACAAAAAAACCCAGCTGGATCCTGTGTGTGCTGGGCTTGTAGAATCAAGCATCCACGTATAAAGAAAACAAGTTGCATGCCCCTAGAAGAAATAGATTTAACCATTAAACTATTACTCAGACAAACAGCCTTCCCAAAGGAGTTCATTGCTTGCAAAACAGTGTTGTTGCCCACTACTTAGTATCCATCCATATAGCTCAGTAATGAAAACATGAAGTTTAAATACATTTATACATAAATGATCACTTTTTTTTTTTTTTTTTATTAATACAGCTAAGGAACTCCCAGTACTTGAAGCATGGAAATGTGCAATCAGTAGGGCTCTATGCTGACAAAACTGCATAGATATGCTGTATCTAAACTTCATTGTTAAAACCAAGATCTATAATTTCCGAGGCATCTCTCTCTCATTTTAGGGTGGACAGAGGTAACATTTTATGACTGACATAACAGATGGCAAATGCCCCTCACATAGTATATTTTGATAAATCTGACCATTACCCAACACAGTTTATTTTTCTTGGAGGAAAAAGTAGATGGCTGAATCCTGGTATGCTGGCAAAAGCATAGTTTAGTGGGCAGGAAAGAAGCTAATATTAGCACTATTTGGTTGGTATACTTAAATATTAGCAAAGCATTCCCAGTCAAGACCTCAAACTAGAAGGTGAATGTGGTGAAATAGGTTGGGGCAGGATGATATGACAGAAGGAATGGGAGGGTAAAACAGGATCATTTTTTCTTTTGGGATGATGAAATTGTTCTATAGAGATGATTTAAGCAAACATCCTCTGACAAATCTGTTGCATTACTAAAGATTCTGCTGCCCCTATTTGTCCACACCTATGTTGTGCCTGAAATTGTTTGATGGAATAAGGGTGTGTGTGTTATGCTTGACCATCCCAATTGACAGCCCTCTGTATCTCTGAAACCCTACTTATTTCAGAAATTAAAACTAATGTGCTATGCAAAGCACAGGAATAGCTAAATCATAAGAGATGCCAGCCTATAGGACCAGTGAATTGCAGCTGAAAGGTGAGAGGGAYGAGTGGTGTTAGTGCATTTATTGTAATTAAGTACCCTGTAATTACACTGAAATGACTGGGATAATTTTCAGCAGGGATATAGTGTTGAAAAACAATTCAGAAGAGTTCAGATAAAACTCTGAGTARTACAGATCATCTATGTAAACTAGGATCATTCATTCCAGAGTGCTGGCCATGAGATAATTTGCTTTTTAACCTGAATTTTACACATGCCTGAGTGCCACTTCTTGTGTTTGGTACCCCAGTTCTGCATTAAAAAAACCCAAAAAACCTAAACATAATTACAGAAAAATAATGCTTGTTATGAAGAAGCTACTGCTAAAGATGTATCAATGCCAACACAGAAATAAAAACTATAAATTGCAACCTTGGATTCCAGTCCATCCTAATGTCTTTGTCACGGAAATTGCAAAGCTCTGCTGCTATGGCCAGTATGAATGTGTATTGCCCACATGATAAAGAATAACATGCATGACAGTGTCAAGTAGATGAAATCATATTAATATTTTTTACATTTCAGACCTAAGAATTCTTGCTTAAGGTCACCAAGCATATTTCATAAATGTCTGGAAAAAAATATTTTCAAATTCCCAAGGGGTTTGCAGACAAGTTTGTATTTATAGGCCCAGATCACTCGGARTGGCAAGAAAGTTTTAGTTAGATAACTAACTCCCTTATGGTTTTGGTAGTGTGGGTACAGAAGATAGTCTTGCCTGCTACAGACATAGCCAGAAAATCAACTATTTCCGAGTTTTCACATGAAGCTGTCCTCACTGAGAYGTGTTATGCAATGATTTCATATAATGTAAATTTACAATTAACAATTCTATGCATTTTTCCAGATACAGAAATCAAAGCACATTGCTAGGACAGCAAAAATTCTCAGCATCATTTTCTATGAAGAGTTGCACAGATATAGAGAGGTCACAGGCACTTTGCCTAAAGTCACACTCCTTTCTTGCTTCTGGGGAGGTTAGTGCCTCTGATCTCAAATTGCTCCTCTAACTCCGCTAAACCCGGTAACGACTGCCTTGTATGTTAATTAATATTTTCCCATAAGACGATGGGAGACGTCTTCCTTTGGTAAGCTGCTGTACTGCAGCATAGCAGTATTTACAGTGAAGTGATCTTTTCCAATCACACCCCCCCCCCCCTCCCCAACGTTACAGCCGTTAATTTCTAAACGAGTTATTATGACCCAAATCGCAGACAATATCGTGCAGGAGGGAGCAGAGCGGCGACACCGGTGCATGCGGGCTGCGAGCGGCCCCGCCGCCTCCTCCGCCGGGAACACGGGGAGAGCTCGGCCACGGCCCCGCAGGGCGGCAGCTGGAGGCGCCGCATCCCTTTCGTCTTTTTTTCCCCTTGCTTGTTTGTTTGTGGTGTTGTTTTTGTGGTTTTTCCCTCGGCTTTACTCGYAAACCCGCTTGCTTCAGCTTCGGCGCAGGCTGACAAATGAAAGCATGTCCCGGCGGCACTCATGGGGGAGACGGGAAAMCACGGATGGATGTATGCGTGACCCCAGCCTCACTTTTCCTCTCGGGCATGTGCACAGGGCTTCACCGCTCCCGAGRCGGGTGACACGCAGCTGCGGTTAGGAACAGGCTGGACTGTTCCAGCACAGCCTCTTCCCTACATCCCTCGACTTTTACTATCGCTGCCCTGCCCGCACCGCTCCGCGCGCTTCGTGACGCGCGGCGACCGCCCTCAYCGCGGGGCGAGAGCCCGGCATCCCCGCCCCGCAGCCCCTTCCTGGGCCCCCGCGCTCCCCTCTCCTTCCCCCGCTCCCGCCTCACAGGAAAATGCGGGTTGGACAGACCCCCGCCCCTCCTGCCACCCACCCCGGCGAGGGCCCCTCCGCCGCCCCTCACCTCCCTCCGCTGGAGGGGAGAGAAAGGCGCCCATTGATCCGCGGGCGCGGCCCGCCTGGTGACGAGAGTGCGGATCCCCTGTAAACAAGCGCGACACCTCGCGCATCCCCCGCCCCCGGCGCTCCCCGCCCCGCGGAGCCCCCACACGCCCGGTGAAGGAGCGGGAGCGGCGGCGCGGGGGGAGCACGGGGCCCTGGGRAGGCGGGGGGCCCTGGGGCCGCTTTGCCCCCGCCGTCACTCGTTCCGTAATACCGCGCCACGAACCCCCAATGGGGCCGGGATCGTTTCCAGAGGAAATGCGGACGCTGTCCTTATTCACCACTAAGGCGAAGCGCCCGGATAAATTAGTGCTGTTTAATTAATACGGACGAACAGCGGCAGCCCCTGCCCCCCCGGCCCTCCCTAGGTGGCATTTCCCCACCGCCCGGCGCGGACACAGCGCGGCCCCTCAGGCGGGGGAGCGGGGGCGGCCCGCGCGCGGCGTGGGC